TGCCGAACGCACAAACCTTGTACAGTACTCTTGTCCAAGACGGCGGGAGGTCTGGGCTTGCTTTGACCCTCTGAAGTAAGGGGCAAGGACAGGGGGGACTGGCACAGGGGGGAACACATCGACATGGAATCGGCGATACATCGCCGATGGATCGGCGATAGGCGCCCGACAGTGAAGCCGCACGCTCCTGGGCGGGGGTGGGTTAACGGGCCACTACCGGCGATGAATGGATGATCGGGGGTCGATGCATCCCCCCCTATGCCTGTCCCCCCGATCGATAGAGGAAGAGAAATAGCATAAGCGTAAACTTTGGGGAAGTCCGCGCGGATGTCTCGGATCTGCGCTGGAACCCCCTCCCTGGTGCGCGGAGCGCACAGGGGGTCGTGCCAGAGGCGCCGAGAGGGGCCTCCAGCGCAGATCCAAGAACTCTGGGGCTCGCCATCGCTCGGACGTCCATTCCCCGTGCATTTTTTGACTTCGTGCGTGTATTTTCCGCTCAATGATCAAAGATGCTCCTCGATGGTCCTCGCCGAGAAAAAATGCACACGTCCGAGCGATGCCAAGGGGGGGAGCTCCAAAAGTCTATGCTCGTGCCATTCTGTCCCCTTCGAATCGCTGCCCCCCCGGCGACGGCGTCCTGCGACAGGGAGCCCATGTCGACGAGCGCCGGCGGCCGCGGCTGAGGCAGCCCCGCTGGGGGCATGCCGAGCGACGCCTTCGTCATGCCGGCGGGGCCGCCGGGGGGCTGCTGCCCCGAGGGGCTCGCCTGCTCGCTGGCTGGGGGGGGGGGGGGGGCAGTGCGATGACGAGGGCGGCGGCGAGAACGGCCATGGTGCTTCGAGTGCTGCCTGGAAGCCGTTTCAGATGGTTGTGGGGCGACTTTGGAGCCCCCCAGGCGGCTTCGGACGCCCAGAAGACCGCCGTCTTGGAGCGTCGGGAAGCCGAAAAGAGGAGAACCCCCAACTTCACCAAGAACCAACAGAACATCAATGACTTTTGCCTCTTGGGGCCTTCTTGGGAGTGCTCTTGGAGGCCTCTTTGGGGTCAGGTTTCTGCTGCTCCCATCGTACTTAAGGACCCCACCCCAGAAGCAACTTCGAGCACCCGGGAAAGTGTCGAAAGAGTGTCGAAACAGTGTCGAACGAGTGTCCCCCAGGGCCCGATACGTGAAAACCCCTGAGTTTCGGGGTACTTTTTTCTGGTGCTCGAAATTAGTTCTGGTGATCCAGGCTAAAGTAGGTTGGAACATCTTAAGCCGAGGTATGAGATCGAGGTCGCTTCGCTTCTGGTGCATCCTGGGGGAGGGTGCCCTCGGATGCTCCTCATTTTGGCTGGCGGAGGGTCTCGTGCTCTTGAAGGATGTGATTCCGTCCCAGGTCCGCGACTGTCGGAGATCGAAATGATCAGTGTACCCCAGAATGGCACTGTTCGTCGCACCTGCCTGCGACAGAAAAGACGTAGATTTGTCGTCGGCCTGCGGGCATTTTACACATCTGTGGTCTATTCGGGAGCGGCCAAGAGGGGGGTGTCCAAAAGGGGGGTGGCCAAATCATGACCGGCAGCATGTGCGCGGGCCAGCGGGGGGGGGGGCAGGGACGTAATGAAATTCGCCGGCCCAACGGGCCAGAGGCGTGCTAAGATCTCCGGTAACTTGTTAACAATATTTCTAGTTCGCGCGCGCGGAGCGGCCCCTGGGGGCCCCCGGACGAAAAGTACCCTGGCAAGGTCCCGAGAGAAGCCCGGGAGAAGCCACCAGACCACTCCAGGGGAGGGTATTTTTCGACACCCCTCACGAGGATCGTGGCCTCCGAGGGGGGAGCCGCAATCGACTACCCCCAAGAGCCCCCCAAGAGGCCCTGGGGGCCTCCAAAACGCCGCCAAGGAGCCCCAAGAGACTCCCAAGAGGTCCCCAAGAGGCCCCCAAGAGGCCCTAAAGAGGGCTCCAGGGCCGGCGGCATGAGCGAAGCGATTAAATAAGAAGCGGCGCCAGGAAATCTGGGGAAATATCATGGCCCCCGCCATGATATCCCCCCCCCCTAGTCATCACCCCCCTCTTTTCCGCCCCCGAATATCTGTGGTCTGTTCGACGACGAATCCATTGCCGGGGCACGTCAATTCTGCAGCGGAGACCTCCTGCTCGGATGGTGGCCGTGGCGATGATGCCTCGGTCCTCGGCGGCCCCGCGCGGTCGAACTGGGGATCGCTGCTCGGGGATCGCGGATCAAGGTTTCAGTCGGGCCTGTCCCCCTACAGGGGGATTTCCGACGAAAAATTCGCCGGCACAACGGGCCAAAGGCGTGCTAAGATCTCCGGTAACTGCTAAACAATACTTCTAGTTCGCGCGCGCGGGGCGGCCCCTTGGGGTCCCCCGGCGAAAAGTACCCCGACCGCCGCCCGACCACTGCTACTCAGAGATGGTTTTCCTCCTGGGTGTGGCTTCTCAGGCCCCCCAGAGCGCGCCAAGAGCGCCCCAAGAGGCCCCCAAGACTGCCCAAAGGGCCCCCGAGACGCCTAAAGAGCGCTCCAAGACGCCGATGATGACCTCAAGACGGCCCAAGAGGCCTCCAAGTGGCCTCCAAGAGGCCTCACAAGAGGGCCCTGAGAGGCCCAAATCAGACATTTTACGATGGTTTTGAAAGAATTTGGGCCTTGTCCCCTTTTCGGCCATCCGATGCTCCAAGACGGCCCAGGAGGCCCCCAAGAGCACCCCAAGACGGGCCAAGAGGCTTCCACGAGGGCCCCAAGAGGGCCCAAGAGGGCCCCGAGACGACCCAAGAGGCGCCCAAGACGGCCCAAGACGGCCCCAAGACGGCCCCAAGAGGGGCCCAAGAGGGGGACCACGAACCAAAACCTCGAGCCTTCCGCCCCAAGAGGGCCCCAGGAGGCCCCGAGAGGCCCCAAAGAGGCCCCAAGATGCCGCCAAGAGGCCCCCAAGAGGTCCCAGGAGGCCCCCAGGGGGCCCCCCAGAAGCAAAAATGCCTCACAGGCGCCCTCGAACGGCTTCTGAAAAGACCCCAAGAGGCCTCCCAGAGAAGCATCTTGACGACGACCCTGTTTGGCCCCAAGAGCAACACAAGATGCCAACGAGAGGCTTCCTCCTCCGCCCCTTCCTCTTCCTCCTCCTCCTCCTACTTATCTTCATCCTCCTCATCTCCTTCTCATCCCCATCCTCATCTTCTTCCTCCTCGGCGGCGCCACAATGGCCCCGGGCCCACGGCGAAGCAGTAGCGATCATGCAACATGGGCCGGCGGAATGAGCGAAGCGATTGAATAATAAAAAATACCCCCCAAATAAGCAACAAATCATAAAATAATAGCCTGGGGACTATGTTTGGAGTATCCGTTGACATTCTTAGGGGCATTTTTGGGGCCTGTTCTACTTGTCGTCGAAAATCCCCTTGTGGGGGGGACACGCCCGACACAAAAATCAGGGCTCGGGGATCCAAGCTCGGGGCTCGAAGCTCGGGGCTCGGGCCTCCGACGGCCCGTGCTGGGCCCCTTGCGACGGTGCGTGACGGCGACGACGACGAAGGGCCACCACGGCCGCCCACCGCCCGGCCGGCCACAACCGGGGGAGCTGTGGTCCTCGTAAAACAGGGCGCAAGCCATCGACACTCAAGAAACCCAGGGCACCCTGGAGGCAAGCAGGGTGTTTCTTGGCATAGGCCCCCACTGTATCCCTCCCTATCGTTGCCCCTGATGGAGGCGAGCAGTGGACTCCTCGGCACGGGCCCCCCCCTAAAACAGGGCTAGGATCGGGATAAATCGCTCCAGAGCGCTCTGGAGCGCTCTCAGAGCGTTCCGGAACGCTCCGGAGCGGCCGCGGCGCCCAATACATCCTCCAAGCCCGCCGATTCTCAGAGGTTTCGAGTTATCCCGATCCGATTTTGTCCCGATCTTCGCGTCGTTTGACCTCACCCCCCCTGGGGGAACCCATCGCATCGACGATCTCTCGGGAGGGGTGTCGAAACCGATGGGCCCCCCGGGGGGGTAAGGACACCCCGGCTCCCCCAGTTGTGGCTGGCCTGCCACCTCCCTTCTGCTCCTCCTCCTCCTCCTCCCTCCTGCTTCTTCTCCTTCTCACGGCGAGGCAGGACGCCGGCGGCGCAGGAGGAAGGCCGAACGGCAGAAGTCGACGACGCGGACCAGGCCGCCGAGAGCTGAGGGTAAAAAAAAAGCCTTGCTGGCCCCAGGGAAGGGGGAGGGGGGGGGGCAGAGATCCGACGCAACAGATTTTTTCAATGCGGGATCCCCGGAAGTCTCGACCCATTCCCCAGGACAGGTTTCTCATCCTGAGTCGTCCTCTGACGGTCCCGAAGCCCGGCGAGGGCCCCCGGGAGCCGGGGTTTGAGAAACACCTCCGCCTTGCTGTTTTCCTTGATCTCTTCAATGCGTTGGATCTGAGAAACACCTCCGCCTTGCTGTTTTCCTTGATCTCTTCAATGCGTTGGATCTCCGGGGGGGGCGGAGGAGGAGGAGGAGGAGGAGGAGGAGGAGGAGGAGGAGGAGAAGGAGGAGGAGGAGGGGGAGGAGGAGGAGGGGGAGGAGGAGGAGGACAAACTATGTGCGCTCGCGTCATATCTGACGTCCTACCCCTCCCTCCCATCCCTTACCATGGCGCTGAGTTTCGCGTGTCGTAGCGGACCTGTGGCTCCGCGCGCGCGTGCGTAGTGGGTGGTGGTGCGCGTGCGTGCGTGCGTGTGTGTGTGGTTGTGGTTGTGGTTGTGGTTGTGGTTGTGGTTGTGGTTGTGGTTGTGGTTGTGGTTGTGGTTGTGGTTGTGGTTGTGAGGTCTGTGGGTTGTGGTTGTGGTTGGTGGTGGTGGTGGTGGTGGTGGTGGTGGTGTGTGTGTGTGTCGGGTGTTGTGTGTGTGTGTGTGTGTGCGT